GCTGTATTCTTTGTGTTTGTGAGTGCATGCTGTGTCAAGGATTGCCATTAAGTGTGTGAACCATAAAATTGTGAGTGTCGTGCAGTTGTGTAATCATTATTAAATTAGACAGTTGATACTTGCTTTTGTCTTAGTATATCTATTCGTCTTAAGTACATTGTTTATGCTTCTTTGATTCCCAGCTCCGCTGCATGGATTTGCATTTTGGTTTGACGTTGAATTCAGTGAGCTGGAAAATTCTCCTACAAATAATCATGCCCCATCCTCACTTTTTGGCTCATCGAATAATAATCCTGTGGATGGTAGTCAGAAGAAGAAACGAGCCAATCCCAATGAAGTACTTAGACTCTCCACAGCACCAGAGGATCCTCCAACACATTGGCAACAGGTACCATACTCATTGCTAGTTTGTGCATGCTGAGTTTGCAGACATAGAGCACACCTGCATACGTAAATTTTGCAGTTGGTTGAGCATTACAAAAGGCTGCATGGTCAACTTAGTTTTAACTATGAAGGAGTCTGATCATTTTTACATCTGGAACTTGCGAAAAGCTACTGTTTATATTTTATAACGGACCCTTTTTAATGTTAAAAGATGTAAATTTTGCAGACAATGATATACTTTTATGACCCGATAGAGGTGGAGCAAGATCAAATCATTGAAGGCTCTCTAACATTATCGCAAAGCAAAGAAAACCGTCGATTTATGAATATTCATCTTGAGTACTCGTGAGTTACAGCAGCACATTTCTAAGCTAAAGATTAGCTTTACTTCTGTTGGGTAAATAAATATGGCTCATCCATCGTCTGATTTTCACTCTTGCAGTTCAGGTGGCAGGTCCTATGTAAAAGAGTCAGTCATGCGATGATCCATTCAAGGTACTACTTGGTTCTATTGAAGCTTCACAACTGATTACCTGGCTATACTTTTGTGCCTCTTAAATATCAACGGGCTTTGTGTTTTCAGTGAGATCCCTCACTTGACTTCACAGAATGAGATATTTGACTAATTTTTACCACACAAAGCCGTGCATAGATGAAGCTATTTGTTTAACTTAGTACTAAATTAAGATAGGTGAAATTTTGACATTAGCTCTGCTGGTGGTGTAAGATTGTTGTTTCAAACAGCGAAGACAGTACTCCTTGTTTAATTTTTTTTCTTTGTGCACACGCATGAGGTTGTATTTTAGTTATGATAGATATAGAGGACAGTCTGTGACATCCGGTCATTCATGCCTTTGTTACATTCTCAAGTTCAGGATGCTTTGTTAACAGAGCTCCTCTGCAATTTAACTTGACTTTACTAAAGATTGTCATTTTCCTTACACCGTATCTACTACTTAAATTCATTCTTGATTAATGCTATCTTCTCTCTCCCTCTCTCTCTCTCTCTCTCTCTCGTGTTTTCTAAAAGTTTTTGGTTGAGCAGTGTATCAAGCTGGTGGCTCTCACTCCATTTTGCTGAATACTTTATTAGGTTACTTAGGCTTTGCACATTTATTTTCCATGTGCTAGATGCTGCATGGATACTGGCTAAGGGGCTCCATTAAGGATTTGGCTCTTCTCCAGCTGATAATAGTCATGGCTATCTCCCTCTGTTTTTGAATTCAAAGGGTTTGCCTCTTCGCATTTCTTTTCTTGGTTCGCATAGCCCTTGGTCTTGCTTCTGCATTCGACGGTAATTCAATTTCCAATGATTCCCTACTGGTTCTTTCTCTTTTTTTTTTTTTTTTAAATCACACACTATAATCTCCAGTTATATTAAGAACCTGGCCTTCTTTAAACCATATGGCAATCTGGAAGCAAAAGAACTAGGTCATGGGAACTATTTTGATCTAATTAAGCATAGCTAGAACAGCATTGTCGGTGTAGACCAGAAGTGAAGATTTAAACCTTTGTGGTTGTGGACTGGCATTTATCTGCCTAGTAATTTGATTAAGCTATTGTGTTGGTTGGGATTTTGGCCTAGTTTTCGTGACAATACTCACAGAATAGCAATAATATGTAAAGAGATCAAACTACCTGTCAATGCTTCACTTTTCTTTTAATCTTTAAGCATTTATTTGTTGGTATTTAGCATGTGTGGGACAAACATGTCTCGTCTCCCTCCAGCTTGAGCTCAACTTGATTAAGGATGGCCTAGTTTACATCTTGCAAATTATTTTCTGTCTGCTGTTGTTAGTGTTATCTGGGTAAAGCTAGCGGTGGGCTCATTGTAACCCATCATATGGACAAGCATTTCAGTCCACAATGTTGTTTGGACAAATGGTCCTTCCTCGGAAATCACAGCTGCTAGACTTAGTTGATCCAAAGAATAGAATATAGTGTTTTATACCTTTAAAGTCAGACACAAATGCCCAGTAGGCTGGCCAGCTAGAAATCTGACCGCTAAGCCATACCCAAACCCTGGTGTGCTCTGGCAGTAAAAAACATAAAAAGAATTATAATCTGCATGAGCCCATAAAGTAATGGCGAGAGACACTGAGACAGATAGGATTCCGTTTGGTAAGAGGTAAACCGATGTTTAAGCACTTGTTTACTTTCGAATTTGTCATCTCTTCATTACTGCAATTGCCTTTCCTTCTTTAATCTGATGTAACTTCAAAATTGTAAATGTTGAGGCCGAGTTTAGTTTTCTAATTAAACACTGCACAGCCAGTTTCAGACATACAAAACCGAACAATGAAGCACATTTTCATGAATCACGTGTGCCTGCCTGTAGCATTCTTATTATTTTAAGACAAAGTCACCACGGCATAGTTGTTGGCTTGTTGCACCTAATACTACAAAAACAAATCAATGCCAGCTTATATATGTCCTAAATCTATTGTCTTCTATTCATAGCAATAATTACTGGTTGTTTAAAAGTCAAACAAAAGCGGTTATATATATAGAAGATAAATCCCAAAATTTTGTTGCTATATAAACAGAAAACATATGCCATGAGCTGCTTACCACTTGGCTAAAAACAGAAACAATATCACATGGCTATGTTTGGTTTGACAGGATTTTGATGGAAAGTAAAATTCCAAGAGAAATGTAACTAGACTAATAATTTCTCCACATCTTTTTAATCCCTAAAAATAATTTTGGGCACTAAGGTCTAAGATTGTACTTTATGATACCTCTAATAATAGAAAACGAGTTTCATATTTTAATTATTGTACAAGTTATTGAATCCTCTCAAGTTCCATGAACCAAACACATCCTTATAAGGATTCTCATACATCCATTGAATTTACATTCATAAATATATATCTGCACAAAGCAAGCGGCCTCCGAGTTTCCCAATTATTGTCTGATTTAATTATTTCTCTTCTGGAGACCTTGATATAGAGTGAAAAGGTTGGAGGATTATTTAAGATTTTGGATAGGGTTTATCTCCACTGAAACTTGTCATGTTCCTCCTAATCAAGCCAGCAAATTTTATGGCATTATCTATCTCAAGATCTTCATGTCCATCTCCATGCAACTGTTACAAGATATGGACATGCCTTCATTCATTCATTCTTTCTTGTTTCAAGCTGAAAATACTTTCACATTCTTCATTGCATGATTTAAAGCTCATAACATAATTGTATCACATACTGATAGGATGAAATAATTTCCTATATCAGATTAAATTTTGGCTCTAAGATCATTTGTTTTTTGGGTTCGATACCGGATAATTAAGTTAGTGTATAACTTATAGCTTGAAATATAGAGCAATAAATCATGAATATTTGCATGACCATTCAACTTTATCAAATCTTAAGACTCAAACGATGCACGTGCAGTCGTGCATGAGTTACATGACATTGAGAAAAATATTAATATGGCGGCAACAAATAAAATATTAAGGGCAACTTTTAGGTGGTAATAATGGTTCAATTATTGGGAAGTGGTGCCTATCTTATGTATTCCCAACTCCAAATATTTCTATTGTATGCCTTCGTGACATTTCCCACTTAGGGGTTTCTTTCTTATTTTTCTAACATATCATTTTGGCTGCTCTTGTCGTATTTACAAGCATTAACACAATTGAATATCCTCCATATCTCTTAATCTCTCCTGCACTCCCACAGATTATTTCCATTGGTTTTTTGGCATAATCATATCAAAGTCGACTCTTCAAAAAGTTTCATACACAACAAAACCCTTCTCTATCCGAGGGACAACAATCTAAAGAAAGTGGAAAACATGCATGCTGAAAAATGTTTGATTGCATTTAGATTGATTCATTGTTCTTTTCTGAAGATTTGAATTGATCTTTCCATGTCTTTTCAGTGTGCTCAAAGGATAAATCTCTATCATTTTTATTCTCACACTCGTTTCCACACAATAGAACCATGAAAACCATGCAATAATATATATTAAGCTTATCTCAATCTTTTTGTAAAGGTTGGAAGAAATTTATTAAGTTAAAATTCCCAAAACCCAATTTTTAGAATTCAAAGTTTTAACCAGCCAATCAAAGCTTGATGCAGCAGCCCCTAAAGGTCGCCATGCATCTTGGGTGAATCTTATTTTTTGACTCATGCTCGGCCCTAAGCCTTGATTACTTTATGATATAAGCCTAGAGATGAGTTTATATTATAAAAAGTAGGAATTTTAGCAAAAGAATGAGATCAGCCGCCATGTGAGGGTTAAAATATGAGATTACAGGCAATCTTTGCTTTTAAACTAATCTTCCACTCAGTAAGGGGGGGGGAAGGTAGTGTGACTGTTGATTTATTCTATTACAAATTTTCTATTCAGCTTATGATTTGACGACAAAAGAAACACAACTTTCTGCACCAGATGTAAGTAATGTGTGATTATGTATTCAGAGGAAAAGCATAAAAACCCTGGATTCTAAAGTAGCAGGGCTTGCATTTTCATTTCTAAAAGTAGTACCACTAACGTCTTTTCAATGGGGAGAAAATGAAAAAAAAAAAAAAAGGGTTCCATCTTCTAGGATCCGCGAACTACAAATTTATAGACATTCACTGAATATTCAGGTAACCACTTACTTAATTTAGAACTGCCAAAGAAAAAACAATTCTAAGCATAATAATAGAAACTAGTAAATAATTGCATCCCTTGATACCAAATTTAGTTTTGGTATGGAGATCTTAAGACTCAATTTCCCTAGAGAAATGGCCAGTTAAGGTTTCCCAAGTTAATTCTAGTACTCATATATCATTTCATTGATTTTTTATTTTTTGTTATTTATTGTTTATCTTTTTTTTATTTAATTTTTGTATAAAAAAATAACAAAAGTATCAATCAAATCAACTTAAGTATTTTCTTCATAAATTCTGAGAGAGAGAGATTGGGAAATTTAGACCATGCTTGGTAGGAGGAAAAGAGGAAGGAAGGACAAGAAATTAAGATAAGGGGACTTTATACAGTTTCTTTCCTTTCCTTCCCTTCCTTGTTTGTTAGAAGGGAAATAAGGGACAATTTTCTTTTCTATCTTTTTTTTTCTTTCCCTTTTCTCACCTTTTCTTTTATCTTTCTCTCAATTCTCCGTCCTTTCAGCGTAAAAGCTTATCATCCCACACTGCAGTTGTCTTGACTTGAAATGGCAAAGTTACCCCACTTGAATGCCGGAATCATCGTGGCATCTAAAGGTGATAGAAGAGTCCCATGTTGTGCAATAATTAAGCATTGCATAATTCCTATAAGGCATTGAGGCACAGTCACCTCTATTTATTTTATTTTATTTGATATCTTGCATGGCCTGCCAGCGCCATCACGCGTGAACCTAGCTAACAGGCAAATAGTTGATCTATTGATCAGATCATTATCAAGATTGACACCCATGGCTCATAGAATCCTACTCAACTACATGATCAATCTACCCATTTTTGACATTGGTGCTCCACTGATGATCCAATAATATTTATAAATTAATATACTATATAGTAGTAGTAGTAGTAGATAATTCATGCACGCTGAAGTTTTGGAGGCCCTAGCGATGATAATGCTTTGGTCTGGTCCATGGATTCCCACGTTGTGGAAGGACCTCTCATAATGAAAGCAAAAAGGAAAAAATTGATTGATGAGAGAGAAGCAAGAGAATTATTAGAGATCACTGTTAACTATTTCATCTAATTCCCATTAAGCTTTTTGAAAACAAAGAATTTACTCAAAAAGCTGGACCTATTAATGATCATTAAAACTTGAAATTTGTTGTGAGATCAGAGTGAGTGAAGGAAACATTTCTCTCCTCTTTTCTTTTTCCCTTGTATGGCATGAAACAAGCATATCTGCTAGTACTGATAGAAATAAACAAAGATAAATGGGAAAAACCGATTAGGGTAGTACAGTAAACTGAAAATTCCTGGAAGTCCTCCCTTGTCCTGTTACCTTAGATTTTAATTTGTATCCTTCCTCCCCTGGGAAGACACAGATGACAGGCAAATCATGTACCATGTGACATATGAGAGATTACCTTCTACTCCCCCTTTTTCTTCTGACTTTTAATTGCTCGAAATGATCAAAGTGTAAACAGTTGATCACTTGGGACTTACGGGTGAATCAATGCTCACGAGCGTGTCAAATCAAGCGACACTCATCAAAATCTAAATTGAAAAGCTATAAATAGTTTATGAATCACTTTATAAATGGTTCTTTTAAAAATATCTAACGGTGCTCTTAAGTCATTTTATAATCCATTTTAAGAATAAATAATAAACAAGTTAATTCATGAATAAAAATAAAATAAATAATTACAAATTTGATTCGTTTGTTAAATGTATTTTAAAATTTTATTCAAAATTATTTAATCTATCTTATTAAATAAACATAAACGAGCCTAACTCGAACTTGTCCGCTAGTTGTTTATTGAACATACCCCTGCATCTTCATTAGTGACAGTACAAGATCTCAATACTTTAAGGGAAATAAAAAGGTCCATGACTTATGCAATCACGTACACGCAGGCGTTAGAGGCTTAGAGCGGCAATTAAAAATAGGTTAGCACTTTGTGAAAAGGCTATGGAGCTTATTCTACTCTTCTCCGGGTAAAAAGACGGAAGTATCTTTGGGTTTCCATTAATTAAAAGAACATAGAAAAGAAAAGAAGATTACTTTTACTAGCATCTCAGATGGATTGATGGTTCATTGTTGATCAATAGTATTATCAATATTCTTTTATGTACTATGTATAAGTATATATATATATATATATATGTTAATGCTTTTTTCAAGGTTACAAATTGAAAAAGGCTAATACTATAAAGTTGAGTATTCTTCTGCACTTATCGCAATTATAATACAGCTTCTCCCACTTTTGCAACTTCTCCACTCGACAATAGAAGCTAATTAGAAATGTAGACGGCGTCTCTTTGTCTTTACCTAGGAAGCAGACCCACAAGTTTGGCACATCTAGCCAAATGAAATTCGGAGAATAGGCTGAAAAAGAAGACTCAACATGGAGGTTTCATTCTGCTGAGTTCAAGAGGACAAGAAGCAATCAAGGTATCCTATCACAATGCTTAACAATCCATGGAGCAGGGATCAATGCTGTCTTTGTCTTATCAGTCCATCTATATCTCTCTATGAGCAACTGAAGAATCTTCATGGTGTCAATTTAACTAAGTAGAACTTGGCATCCTGTATCTAGTAGTAAATATTAGATAAACAAATATGCCTTTGAATATTTTGTCTGAATAAGGTAGAAAATTAATCTCTTAGCTAGGATTCAAGAATTGTTCATAATGAGAGTACAACTATGATCACCTACCTACCTAGCTTCTTCAGAGGCAATAACGATTTGGCTTCCCTCAAAACGTTTCACTTTTCTCTTTGAAAGGTATTTTACCTGTGGTAACAATTATTCAATTAAGGTTGGCCTTCGTAAAGATGATAAAGAAGCACACCTTCCTCCCTCTTTCCTCTAAATGGCCATATGCACACACAACAATTATATTAAACTAAAAAACAAACAAAAATGAATAAAACATGAAAGTAAAATTAAATTAATGACAAAAGCCAACTTATTTAACATTTTGACTGGTCACGATAAACCACTGAATCCATGGTTTCATGGCATGATCATCCCGAATTAGGTCTTCTGGTTTAATTAGTGCTAGTGCTGCAGCCAGCCTCCTCCCACCGTGGCTGCGCGCTTTGGTGGTCAGGAAAGTGGCTAACTAATATTATTAACAAAGTAATCAATTAATATAGCTGGACACAACCAAAACCAAAACCAAAACCAAAACTGTCTCTTCCTTGTTGAATGGTTCAAAAAATTTTCTCAACAGAATCGATGGTAAAAGACTTGATGCACTCTGGGGTCAACATAGCACAACCCATTAAAGCGAAAAAGAAAAATAAAGGGGAGTTGAGAAACTAGCACAAGACATTTCCCTCTCAAACTCCTGATCAGTCCAAAAACAAAACAGAAGCCGCTTTAACTCAATTATTATTCCAAACCCCACATATCTTATTCCTTCTACGCATCCCTAAGCCAAAACCCGACTCAAATAAATCCCTCCTCAAACCCCACCCCCGCACCCCTCCTTCCCCAAACAACCTAAAACCTCAACACCTCAAACCCTCAAAACCTCAACCATGTCAGCTTTCCCATCCCTCCCGATAATCTTGCTGGCGGTGCTACACCTGACTCTGAGTGGCATCGCCACCTCCCCTCACCCTGACTTTCAACTCTTGAACGTGAAACAAACTCTCATTGGGACGAAAAAGCCTACGCCTCTCAAAACATTTGAATATCACGAACAATCCAACGCCAGCGAAGGTGATCAAGGGAAATGGAAGCTGAAACTTGTCCATAGGGACAAGTTATCTTCCAACACTACTATTGCCTTCCATGACCATAGCCACCGTTTTCTTGCACGCATGCAAAGGGACGTGAAAAGGGTGGCAAGTCTCGTCCGCCTCCTCTCTGGAGGCGGAGGCCACGACGGTGACGCTGCTTATGAGGTGAACGATTTTGGGTCCGATGTTGTTTCAGGAATGGACCAAGGAAGCGGAGAGTACTTTGTGAGAATAGGCGTTGGTAGCCCACCACGAAGTCAATATATGGTTATTGATTCGGGCAGTGATATTGTTTGGGTTCAGTGTCAGCCTTGCAACCAATGCTATAGACAATCCGACCCGGTTTTTGACCCGGCTGACTCTGCTTCTTACAGTGGCGTCTCTTGTAGCTCATCAGTTTGTGACCGGATTGAGAATTCGGGTTGCCATGCGGGTCGGTGTCGGTATGAAGTTATGTACGGTGATGGGTCTTATACAAAAGGGACCCTGGCTCTTGAAACACTCACTTTTGGTCGAACCGTGTTAAAATGTGGCGATTGGATGTGGCATATTAACCGGGGCATGTTCATTGGGGCAGCCGGCTTGTTGGCATTGGAGGTGGATCCATGTCACTTGTGGGTCAATTGGGTGGTCAAACAGGGGGTGCATTTAGTTACTGTTTAGTGAGTCGGGGCAGCGATGCATCCGGGTCATTGGTATTCGGGCGTGGAGCAATGCCCGTGGGCGCTGCATGGGTCCCTTTGCTACGTAACCCACGGGCCCCGAGTTTCTACTATGTTGGGCTTTCGGGTCTGGGAGTAGGAGGCATCCGGGTGCCGGTATCCGAAGACATTTTTCGGCTTAGTGAATTGGGGTACGGAGGGGTTGTTATGGACACTGGCACCGCCGTGACAAGGTTCCCGACGGTGGCTTACAATGCCTTCCGCGATGCTTTTATCGCGCAGACGGCAAACCTCCCCCGGGCTTCCGGAGAATCCATATTGATACGTTTACAACTTACGGTTTTGTGTCGGTCAGGGTTCCAACAGTATCATTTTATTTCTCGGGCGCGGCCAATCCTGACCCTACCCGCAAGGAACTTTCTTATTCCCGTTGATGATGTGGGAACCTTCTGTTTCGCGTTTGCTTCCTCTCCTTCAGGACTTTCAATAATAGGGAACATCCAGCAAGAGGGCATCCAAATTTCCTTTGATGGAGCCAATGGCTTCATGGGGTTTGGCCCCAACGTTTGCTAAGCTTGATGATGTAAAGAAATAGTGAATTTTGCTTAGGTGCTTGTTAGTTAAAAGTATATTCTTATATTATAAATATATAAGAGTCTGATGTCTTAGTGTCATGTGCTACTTGTCCTATGGTCTATGATTTGATTAAAGTTTTGCCTTTTTTCCTAATGTAAAAAAACACTATATATAGTGTGATTCTGTAAAGTTTTATGCAAAGAGGTGAAAAAACAAAGCGAGGGTGTGTAATGTTAGAGAGTCAAATATTCCCAAGAGAACTGCAGACAGTCAAAAGAATGAATCATAAAAAGGATCTTCTACTTGGACATTAGAGCACCCATTCACGTTAAACATGACATGATGAGAGGATCCGAAGATGGCCCTTTTTACATCAGGTATAGTGGGCAGAGCAGGGAGTATAATTCAGAATCCAGAGCCGAGAGGGTGAAATGATCTGCACATTGCTGATTGCCCACCAGGCACCAGCTACTGCTTTTTCACATCATCTTGCCTTTGGCTGGCCCTCTTTCTCACAAGGGCTATAGTGTTGAAATCATGAGGGCTGGGGGGGAGCCACCACTTTGGTGGACATGTGAAGCCATCAGTAGGCCGTGTTTGAGCCCCTAAGTTGGAGTGCGTTCAAGCAATGACTTTTACAAAGGCATCTACTTTTTCCCTCTTTTGCAAGATTTTGAGACGCAAGGTCACTTTTGCCGCTTTTCAGAATTTTGGTAATGCTAGGGGCCCAAAGGCAGCTTGGTACTGCTGCTATCCCTTTTCCCATCTCTCTAATTACACGGAATTTAGTGGTTGAAATACTGTTTATAGCATTTGGGGTTTTTAGAGGCCCTCAAAAGTTACGCTTTTGTTTTGGTGAAGGTGAAAGAAGAACAAAAGCAAAGCCAAGCTTTGGCAGAACACGGGGATCGTTGGGATATACCTCAAATTTCTCTTAACCCCATTGCCCTAAACAGTGCTTGTCAAAGCAAGAGTGTGATAGTTGTTGGACAGTCTTTATCACCTGTCTGTGGTTTGTCTCGACGAGATTAAACCCCAAAATAGGATCACTAAACAAGAGTCAATCTATCAACGGGCTTGAAGACATTTTCCCAACATTGTCCCTTCCTAAGAAGGGACGAGTTTCTTCCTCTGTTTGACTTTCGCTGATGCAAGTGAAGACGATTGCAGCTTTCGTCTTCTCCTCGCCAGGTTAATGTACAAATTTGTGTGAACACAAAAATCTGGATGACAACATAAAATGAAAAAGAGGATGGAAAATGATAACTCAGTGGCTGAAACAGCTTTTGCTTGGTCATTAAAAGCAGGAAACCAAAAACATATGTACAGTCGGTGGCAAAGCTATCCAGAGGAACTACAATCTGCCTGCAGGTTCAAAACCCTCATTTCTCAACTCTTTTTGAGTAGGGCCGACTGCCAACCAAAGGGATTGTGATTGGAGAATTGCAGGGTTACGGTAAAACGAATTCCAGGTAATATGTTTCCAATTTGTTCATAGTCATCCGCTCAAAAAGGAGGCCCACATTCTCCCTTCCCCATCCTCCCCTTACAGACTATGGGCATATCCTCTGTTCCACAAACTTCAGAAAAAGTTGTTAGTGCAGAATGTACCTTGATTGAGTCCATACTGAAGCGTCTTTGCTTTCCATTGTCGACCTTCCACCCAAGCCTTACAGCAATGCTTATATGTCCAACGAAATTAGCTCCACTACCCTTATTTCAGTAATGAGGTGAGGGGTTTTTAAGGTGAAACAAGGAAGGCTTAGAGACAAACACACAATTATTTGGAAATAACTTTATGTATTACATTAAGAAGATAAAAGGTTAACTACAAAAGCTAAAAGTATGATATGCACTACAAAATAAATAGAATATTTACAGGCAGCCTTGCCTTCCTCTTTCTTGACCTGAGGGGAACAAAAATGCCTCTCTGGACTTCCAAAATCTGACAAAAGTCACCATCTGAATTTACAAAATATGACTGACGGCATTAGCCAGCACTAGATGTGAATTCCCTGTTCTGATCAAAATTTTTAAATCTCAGATCATTCGGGATGGAAACTTCAAGTAGAAACATATAAGGCTAGAAGGATACAACAAAATGAGATGCCAGATTAGGCCATAAATAGATATCTGAGATCTTCCACCGTTAATCGAGTTGCGGAGCCCCCACTCTGATCTTCACCAAAAGCAGAAGCAACCATTTTTCGTTTTTCATCCTACAGCGAGGCAAACAAAGAAATAAGTATCATACAACGAAAACCCACCATCTACCAGTCATGCAAATTCTTCATCTCCAAAGGCTATAAAACATATGCAGGTCTTGCACATTCCAGAAAAGACCCAAAAGGTCATAATGGATAATAGTTATACAGCAATCCTTGTAATAATGTCCAAACCAACAACACCATATTAATAGCCCGCATCCCTAACTCAAAGTTGCTAAATCAGTTGGCTTCCCTAAGTAAAAGTGGCAAATTCAGGTAGGGAGATGCTCTCTGCCCTTGAACAGGGCAGGCCCTTTAATGGTACCAGAAAATCATACTGATGTCACCCTTGAATCTTGTTTCATTAAATACACAAGAGCCAGAAAGAATAAAAGGGAAATAAGAGTTTAACCCAGATGCAATACACCTCCCCCTACCTTGAAAAAAAATTCAAAATGTTCAAATCAACTACATAAATGACATTGGTATCTTTTATCAGAAACAATTATTAAGTCAACAGCATAACCTATAGAAAGATAATACCTGAAGAGATAGTATCCTATCTTCCACTGTGTCTTTAATGGTGATCCGAGTTACAGTAACAGGACGAGTCTGTCCAATTCTATGTGCTCGATCGATAGCCTGGTCTTCAGTAGTTGGATTCCACCAAAGGTCCAGAAGGATAACATGACATGCGGCAACCATATTCAAACCAAGGTTTCCAGCTTTTAATGACATCAGCATCACAGTAACCTGCAAGAAAATCAATGGATTGGAGAAATTAAAGTAAGAAATAAAATTACATCACATTCTACATCATTGATTTACTAAACTGAAACACTAAAGCAGACAGTTAATAATTTAAGTGTATATGGAATATATGTACATATGTATGCAAGTAAGTCCACAGAATAATAACCAACTTGCCCACTAAGAAACAACCTATTGGCATCGATAAATTACTTGGGAGTCATATGGTAGGAACAAACCTCTGGGTCACTATTGAAATCTTTGACAGCCCTGTCTCTCGCAGCTAAAGTCATTGTCCCATCAAGCCTCCTATAGTTTATATTATGATTACGTAGTGAGCGCTCGACCAAGTCCAACATACTTGTCCACTGAGAGAAAACAATTGCTTTTATTGGTCCGTCTGCCACTGAGTTTGAATAAACTGTAGTGCGTTTTACAGCACTAATGCCTGAATGGACAGTTTCTGAAAATGTCTCCTCTGAAGACAAAAATGTTTCATTGCATCCAATAGAACTCTGCAATTCTGGAATTGAATTCTTCGATAAACATTTTGACTGAAGAATTTCAACTACGGCCTTGATTTTCGATGAACTGTACTCATCCTGTAAAAGCACTGACTTTTCAAAGAACTGAGGATGCATGGGACTACCGTTAAGACCATCTGTAATACAGCTCCTAAGGGTAGCTTTAGAGAACACGATATCAGCACCAAGTTGTTCTTTACATGCAGGTGCAGGGCACATATTATCATCACCTGTCAAATATTCTGACACACACTGATAGCAGAAAACATGACCACACATGGTAACAACAGGGTCATCAGGTGGATCCTGTAAAAGCATTTAAGCATTAGAAACATTATACAGATTTTTCTGAAATAGTAAACTTATTCTGCTCACTAGCCAGATACTATGAGAATTGGAATTAGAATATATTTCACATACACTTTCTACACCTAAGAAAATTCAAGGTGACAACAAGTAATAATAGGGTAGCATTAAAAAAACAAAAAGACGTCCTAGGAAGCCACACCCCTCACTCCAATAATTTTAATCATGCATTACCCCCTTCCAAATTGAACACATTCAATTGCAATTTCCTCCCCTTAGCTCCTAAAATATTAAAAATTACCATGACACAGAACTTGCTTAAATTCCTCAGAAATTCAATCATATAAAAATTGCAGATTAGTCATTGAACCAGTACCAACATTCAGAGGATGTGCAATAGAGCCACACTTTGGCAAAATATTAGGTTCAAGAAAAACTCACACTGCATACAAGACAGATGGCAAAGGAAGTTTCCAAGCAATTCAGTAGATTAATCAGCATTTCTCTAGGAAGTGTCTTCGCCATTTCTACAGAAACTTGTCCAACAGAGTCAGAGTTTTGAATGGAGTCAGAGTTAAATCCTTTGACAAGAAGTGGATGATCACAAGCCTGACGTAGGCGCAAAAGCATCAATAGAATATTTGCATAATTTTGGTTCACTGTGCCAGCAGCTGCATATGCCTGTTGGAGAAATATATTATTCAAGCATGTGTAACTTTCAGATAGAGAAATATCTAAAAGCATGATTCAATCTTCACATAAGCACAAAATTTTACTGGCAAGTTTAGGTTACTCCATATTTACAGCAATGTCAGACTGATATGAGCATGAAAATAGTGTAACTGAAATATAAACTAGGAATTGTAAATGAGATGCTCACAAGACACCAACAGAAATCAGATGCTTCTCAATGTCAACACAAAACAATTTTCACTAACGTATAGGAATTAAATCTTGAAATCACAAAATCAATCCTAGTAAAGTGTAGCATCATGCAATTAACTTCAACAGAGCTTAACAAACATTATGATTTGATATAACAAAAAGACAATGTGGATTGATTTGTATATTCTACAAAATTGAACCAGGTTATTAATAATATGTTAGTGGAAAGAAGTTCAAGAACCCAACGGCCCTATTAGGCTTACAAAAGAAACTAAAAAGAGAGTTAAACAAGACACCTTTCAATATTTTATCCAGCAAAACTAGTGGGTAAGCATTGAAATTAGAAAGATTAAGCGGTATATTTTGGCTCAACTCATCACAAGATTCCAGTTCCACCTCTAAAGTCTACAAAGAACAAAAGATTCTAGGTAGCAAGAAGAGGCATGCGAGTCTGCTATTTTAGACCCTAAGGCGATGAATTTTGACACATACTATCAACTCAATATCTCTCATGCAT